TCACTCAACACGTCTATGTGTCCGGCAATCTCCTACATCACTCAACCTGTGAGGTTTCCGTAAGCAATCCTCACTCCACGCATCCATGCATCACGAGTATTTGGTAGCGCATACTATGGGGGCTATTTTTGGGGTGGCGTATTTTACAGCGCTTTGCCAACAGCGCCAACCCACGGATTGGGGGGGGGGTGTACTCATAGTCGTGCATGCCGTAGTCGTTAGACCATTCACCTCGCATCCCTACAAAGCCGGGACGGAGCACGCCGGGTTCTCACCGGACCAGGCTCTCACATCACCAAGCGCGAAGCGCCGTGAGATATTCGGCGAGTCGCATGAAGGGTGCGCTGCATCCTGCTAAGGGTGTTCGGCATCTTGTGCTTACTTCCTTGCGTACGGATGACAGCTGCGTATGAATTAAATTTATTTTCTGGTGCTTTCACTTCCGGAGACAGTTGTAAGCACTGTGTAACTGCCTCGAGAGTGCTTGACCATTTTAACACAACGTGGTGCGATCATCCCCCTTGCGCGGAGCGAGGGTTCTCCACCCCGCACAACATGATCTACTCGACCACCAGTATGGTTACCGCCAAAAAAAAAACCGGAGGTAAAAAAAAAAACCGGTAACCTGGTTGCCGAGTTCACGAAGTGAATGGGCTTGTTTTACAACGTCGTTGCCAAGCGACGAAAACCCAACCCCGATGGCAAACACCGGGGGGGGCGGCTTGTTTTACAACGTCGTTGCCAAGCGACGAAAACCCAACCCCGATGGCAAACACCGGGGGGGGCGGCTTGTTTTACAACGTCGTTGCCAAGCGACGAAAACCCAACCCCGATGGCAAACACCGGGGGGGGCGGCTTGTTTTACAACGTCGTTGCCAAGCGACGAAAACCCAACCCCGATGGCAAACACCGGGGGGGGCGGCTTGTTTTACAACGTCGTTGCCAAGCGACGAAAACCCAACCCCGATGGCAAACACCGGGGGGGGCGGCTTGTTTTACAACGTCGTTGCCAAGCGACGAAAACCCAACCCCGATGGCAAACACCGGGGGGGGCGGCTTGTTTTACAACGTCGTTGCCAAGCGACGAAAACCCAACCCCGATGGCAAACACCGGGGGGGGCGGCTTGTTTTACAACGTCGTTGCCAAGCGACGAAAACCCAACCCCGATGGCAAACACCGGGGGGGGCGGCTTGTTTTACAACGTCGTTGCCAAGCGACGAAAACCCAACCCCGATGGCAAACACCGGGGGGGGCGGCTTGTTTTACAACGTCGTTGCCAAGCGACGAAAACCCAACCCCGATGGCAAACACCGGGGGGGGCGGCTTGTTTTACAACGTCGTTGCCAAGCGACGAAAACCCAACCCCGATGGCAAACACCGGGGGGGGCGGCTTGTTTTACAACGTCGTTGCCAAGCGACGAAAACCCAACCCCGATGGCAAACACCGGGGGGGGCGGCTTGTTTTACAACGTCGTTGCCAAGCGACGAAAACCCAACCCCGATGGCAAACACCGGGGGGGGCGGCTTGTTTTACAACGTCGTTGCCAAGCGACGAAAACCCAACCCCGATGGCAAACACCGGGGGGGGCGGCTTGTTTTACAACGTCGTTGCCAAGCGACGAAAACCCAACCCCGATGGCAAACACCGGGGGGGGCGGCTTGTTTTACAACGTCGTTGCCAAGCGACGAAAACCCAACCCCGATGGCAAACACCGGGGGGGGCGGCTTGTTTTACAACGTCGTTGCCAAGCGACGAAAACCCAACCCCGATGGCAAACACCGGGGGGGGCGGCTTGTTTTACAACGTCGTTGCCAAGCGACGAAAACCCAACCCCGATGGCAAACACCGGGGGGGGCGGCTTGTTTTACAACGTCGTTGCCAAGCGACGAAAACCCAACCCCGATGGCAAACACCGGGGGGGGCGGCTTGTTTTACAACGTCGTTGCCAAGCGACGAAAACCCAACCCCGATGGCAAACACCGGGGGGGGCGGCTTGTTTTACAACGTCGTTGCCAAGCGACGAAAACCCAACCCCGATGGCAAACACCGGGGGGGGCGGCTTGTTTTACAACGTCGTTGCCAAGCGACGAAAACCCAACCCCGATGGCAAACACCGGGGGGGGCGGCTTGTTTTACAACGTCGTTGCCAAGCGACGAAAACCCAACCCCGATGGCAAACACCGGGGGGGGCGGCTTGTTTTACAACGTCGTTGCCAAGCGACGAAAACCCAACCCCGATGGCAAACACCGGGGGGGGCGGCTTGTTTTACAACGTCGTTGCCAAGCGACGAAAACCCAACCCCGATGGCAAACACCGGGGGGGGCGGCTTGTTTTACAACGTCGTTGCCAAGCGACGAAAACCCAACCCCGATGGCAAACACCGGGGGGGGCGGCTTGTTTTACAACGTCGTTGCCAAGCGACGAAAACCCAACCCCGATGGCAAACACCGGGGGGGGCGGCTTGTTTTACAACGTCGTTGCCAAGCGACGAAAACCCAACCCCGATGGCAAACACCGGGGGGGGCGGCTTGTTTTACAACGTCGTTGCCAAGCGACGAAAACCCAACCCCGATGGCAAACACCGGGGGGGGCGGCTTGTTTTACAACGTCGTTGCCAAGCGACGAAAACCCAACCCCGATGGCAAACACCGGGGGGGGCGGCTTGTTTTACAACGTCGTTGCCAAGCGACGAAAACCCAACCCCGATGGCAAACACCGGGGGGGGCGGCTTGTTTTACAACGTCGTTGCCAAGCGACGAAAACCCAACCCCGATGGCAAACACCGGGGGGGGCGGCTTGTTTTACAACGTCGTTGCCAAGCGACGAAAACCCAACCCCGATGGCAAACACCGGGGGGGGCGGCTTGTTTTACAACGTCGTTGCCAAGCGACGAAAACCCAACCCCGATGGCAAACACCGGGGGGGGCGGCTTGTTTTACAACGTCGTTGCCAAGCGACGAAAACCCAACCCCGATGGCAAACACCGGGGGGGGCGGCTTGTTTTACAACGTCGTTGCCAAGCGACGAAAACCCAACCCCGATGGCAAACACCGGGGGGGGCGGCTTGTTTTACAACGTCGTTGCCAAGCGACGAAAACCCAACCCCGATGGCAAACACCGGGGGGGGCGGCTTGTTTTACAACGTCGTTGCCAAGCGACGAAAACCCAACCCCGATGGCAAACACCGGGGGGGGCGGCTTGTTTTACAACGTCGTTGCCAAGCGACGAAAACCCAACCCCGATGGCAAACACCGGGGGGGGCGGCTTGTTTTACAACGTCGTTGCCAAGCGACGAAAACCCAACCCCGATGGCAAACACCGGGGGGGGCGGCTTGTTTTACAACGTCGTTGCCAAGCGACGAAAACCCAACCCCGATGGCAAACACCGGGGGGGGCGGCTTGTTTTACAACGTCGTTGCCAAGCGACGAAAACCCAACCCCGATGGCAAACACCGGGGGGGGCGGCTTGTTTTACAACGTCGTTGCCAAGCGACGAAAACCCAACCCCGATGGCAAACACCGGGGGGGGCGGCTTGTTTTACAACGTCGTTGCCAAGCGACGAAAACCCAACCCCGATGGCAAACACCGGGGGGGGCGGCTTGTTTTACAACGTCGTTGCCAAGCGACGAAAACCCAACCCCGATGGCAAACACCGGGGGGGGCGGCTTGTTTTACAACGTCGTTGCCAAGCGACGAAAACCCAACCCCGATGGCAAACACCGGGGGGGGCGGCTTGTTTTACAACGTCGTTGCCAAGCGACGAAAACCCAACCCCGATGGCAAACACCGGGGGGGGCGGCTTGTTTTACAACGTCGTTGCCAAGCGACGAAAACCCAACCCCGATGGCAAACACCGGGGGGGGCGGCTTGTTTTACAACGTCGTTGCCAAGCGACGAAAACCCAACCCCGATGGCAAACACCGGGGGGGGCGGCTTGTTTTACAACGTCGTTGCCAAGCGACGAAAACCCAACCCCGATGGCAAACACCGGGGGGGGCGGCTTGTTTTACAACGTCGTTGCCAAGCGACGAAAACCCAACCCCGATGGCAAACACCGGGGGGGGCCTTTGGGGGGGGGGGGGTTTTCCACCATGTTTCGATAAATACTGAGGTGCACTGCATCAGCTCTATCTATCTCATCTGCCCCTACGATCTTTTTTTAGAGAGGTAGCCTACAATTTACCCTATCGTCCGATACGTAAAACCACTTGAAATTCGTCCTCACGCCCGAGAACGAGCTGTTGGCGCGAGAGGCGGCTTAAGCGTTCCTTAATTGGCCGGTTTACTGCAGGCATGTTCTCGGACAACGCTACATTGACCCTTTGCCTTCACCGAAAGTATCTCATGTTGCAGTGCCGTTAACTCTTTTCCTGTTTACTCCGTGTTCTGCTGAAATGTCGGTGGCGGCACCCGTGTTGGTTCTGGGTACTGCAGATACCGTCATCCACATTCCGCACTGTACATATCGGCCGCGACACGGAGAACGAGCAATCTCTCTCAAAGGAACCTCACCGAATCGGCCCGCCTGCGACTGGTCCTGGACACATGGCGAACGAAGTGGTCACCTCCAAGGTATAACTGGCGCCACCGCAGCGGCAGTGCTGAAAACGTGTTTCAAGAGATTTGGTTTGCAAGCTAGTTGCAAAGTTCGAAGTCGATCTGTTCCAGGTCAACAACACATCAGAAAAATGGACACGAGCATGAGAACGTCGTGTGCACAAACAGCAGCAAGGTAGCATTTTCAATCCAGCCGCATCTCCCTGATAGGACACTCGATCCGCAATGTGGCGTGTGAAGTGGTGTTTTCGCATATCTCCCTCCGTTTGCTGGATCACCTCTGATTGACACTATGCACGGCTCGTTTGGTGCCTCAAATGCCCATAAAAAACATAACAGTACACTGCGCTCAACTTCGTGTTCAAGAATCTGTGGGAACAGTTTCATCGTCCGGCCAACGTGTACTTCCTGGGGATATCGATCCTGCAATGCATCAAGCCCATAAGTATTACCGGTGGTACGCCCACGACGCTCGCCCCGCTCACGGCCGTCCTCATTGTGAGTCCTGGCGGGTGAATGCTATCCGATAGCCTACATTAGTCTACGAACGAATTCGGCCGTCGAGATGCATACACATGGGTGCTTCCCTCGCCCCGTTGTCGACAGAATGGAAACTCTCTCATTTGCTTGCATGTCTGGGACATGTATCAAGTATGCTGTCATCGCCTGCGTACCATTCTCTTGTGTGCACTTTGATCCCCCGGCGCTACGGCGCTAGTAAGGGCATCCCAAGCTCACCAGAACCAATGTCACGATGACCCAGGCAACGTCCACCAAAGATGGAATTGAAGACTTCACTCGGCACCAGGCGGACGCACAAGAGAACTCGCGAACTGTAACACGACTCGTCGTACCCGGCCAGCGAAGAAGCAGCGTTGCGGGAGGAAAATCTAGTGGTGGTGGCGGCGGATGTGGGAAAGAAAGAAAAAACTCGGGAGGCAGCATTAGGGGCAGTAAACCGCGACCGCCTGCCGCCACGGAAGAAGTACCTTGGATGAACGTTCAGGTGGGAGACGTGCTGGAGATCCGAAATCGAGAGAACATCCCGGCGGACCTGGTGATGCTGTCGTGCAGCGACCCAAAAGGAACTTGCTTCGTTATGACCTCTAACCTCGACGGGGAGACTAACCTGAAGCCGCGGGTTGTGAGCCCGGATCTTCGGGCGGTGATTGCCGCTGCCGACGACGCAGCCGCTGTCGCGGAGTCGGCAGGGGGGTTAGCTCGGGGCAAACAAGGAAGTGTGCTGGCGTTGGCGGCGAAGGGTGCCTTGGTGGAGTGCGATCTGCCCAACCAGAAGCTTGAGCACTTCGACGGCGCGTTGGTGGTAAGGGGATTAGCAACCACTCCAAAGCAGAGGCCATACGGAAACATGAGTTGTGTCCTAGTTTTGTACGCCCTGCACACAGAGCATTGAATGCCCCCGGGGGGAAGTCTTGCTGCATTTGACGCTGGCTCGAGTCTTTGAGCAGGCCGTCGATGGGATACTAGCCTACAATCCCGGACCGAAAAATCACCGTTTCGATATAGTGACTTCTAGAACATGAAGCGAGGATTTTGAAGCACAGCTCCGGTATTACCGATCACTTGGATACGAGAAGAAGATGTGTTGTCGGGACGACAACTGCCCCCTACCTTGTCCGCGCACGCCGAAAATCAGCCTTCAAAATATCCGCTACCACTTCATATCGATATTCTTTCCCTTGCCCCCTTCCTTTACTTCCGCGCCCGGGGGAAAGCTGCAAGGGGGCGAACGAATACCGCTCCACGGCAAGAATATACTTTTGAGGGGGTGTCAGCTGCGGAACACCGAGTGGTGTCGGGGAGTGGTGGTGTACACGGGGCGGGAGACGAAGATCCAGATGAACGCCGCCGAGCCCGCCCCGAAGTCGTCCTCCCTCAAACGTTATGTCGATCGGGAGACTCTCCACGTGCTGTGCGTGCAGGTAGGTTGTGGAATGTTGTGTGTCATCGTATGGTGAAAGCGTGTTGGGTCGTGGTGTGATACTATCTGTAGAAATGTGCTGGTGTTGAGGATTGCACTTTGTTGTGCGATGAAAACGCACATGTGGTGCTTCCGTATTCATTCGAGTATTCTTCTCTTTGGATGTGTTTCGCCAGGAAACTGGGCAAACAAGTCAGGAAATAGTTGACTCAAACGTTGGCCGAACAGCGCGTAAGCGCAGGCTGCTTCTGCCTAGAGACCAGAGCCAAAAATTACCCACAAACGGCGCTTCGATTAGATCGCGATTCCCACGACGACAGTAAGCACAAACCAAGTTTATCTCCAAAAACTTTCAATCTCTCTCGCCCCCCGCCCCGTACGCTCGGAAAAACGGCCGCAGATATTTTTGTGTCTTGTGGCCGCCGTGTTCGCCGGGATTCGAGCCGCTGGGTCCGACGTGGAGAACATGTACTTCATTCTGGGGCAGGACGAGGAACCCCAGTCCCCGGCCCTCGTCGCTTTCCTCAAGTTCTGGTCCTTCATCATCATCTTCACCAACTTCGTGCCGATCTCCCTGCTCATCACGCTCGATATGGTCAAGGTTTTTCAGTCCAAGTTCATCGCGTGGGACAGACAGATGTACCACGAGGCCCGGGAGTTCGACGGGACGAAGAGACCGATGCCCGCGCAGGTTTGATCCTGCGAACGCTGCTGCCGACAACTAGTGGGAGGGTGTCACGCGCCCCCCTTTCCCCGCCCATTCACCAATTGCACCTCACCCGCCTCACCCCGCCACGCTGCCTGCACAGTCGTCGGCGAACATCTCCGGTTCTCGTTTACGCGGAACCTCTGTGTGTTGCCGTCGAGGGGGCTAATGAAGCGCACGTGTATAAGGCGCTATCATTGCTATGTCGGCCAACAGGTGAGGTCGAGCGAGCTGAACGAGGACCTCGGCCGGGTGAAGCACATTTTCAGCGATAAGACGGGTACCTTGACGTGCAACATCATGAACTTCCGGAAGTGCAGGTAGGCCCAAGCCTGGCGAAAGACGACGAGGACGGTGCCGCGGACCCTAGCGGTGTCGTGTCGCGTACATGAAGGAAGCCTCAGCCCCCGTGCTGATGATGAAGTGATTGAGCAATGGTTTTGGGTGCTGTGCAGCGTATAAACGTTCAAGCCGGTGCAGCCTAATACAAAGGAACACATTGTCAGGTCTTGGGTGCTGCTACAGTGCAAGGCGTTACGGCACGCTATTGCTCATGATAGTCATGCGCGAGTGAGACTAGCTTTCTTGAAACGAGATGCTGTCTTCACCAAGGGCTCAAGGTCAGTCGTGTCGGCTTTAGCACCAGCTATCCTCGAGTATGTCTTCGGTGCGGGTGGTTCATATGCGTTAGAACACGACCTCCGCTGCTTCAAACACGGTTTAACTAATGTCAGAACTCGGCCATACGACATTCAACAACGGCACAGGCAGACCAGGGCTCTATCACTATTTGTCGCCTCAACAACCTCCGTTCCCTTCCTCGTCTCCTGCAACTCGCCCTCGCGCACCCCTCTTCATCACGCCAACAACAACCACCAGCATTCGCGGCCAAATGTTTGGCCTAGGCACGACGGAGATTGGCCTAAACTACCGCCTTAGGAACGGTCTTCCTGTGCCGACAGTAGCCCCGCTGCCGCCGGGGGCGAAGCGGACGCCGCATGTGAACTTCATCGATCCCGAATTCTCGAGGGTGGTGGAGAACAAGGCGCACCCTCTGCACGAAGCCGCTGTTGAGTTCTACCTCCACCTTGCCTTGAACCACGAGGTATGCGAACTTTCGGCGTACGTTTCCAACCCCTACGGAGTGCGCCCTTCGGTCCGAACGTTGGAGAGAAGAGCCTCGAGAAGGCCATGCCGGAAAGGGGTGTTGATAATGTGCTAGGTACTCTAAATATCACGCGCTCTGCATTTACCCATGGATGATGTCGTTTCGTGATGCGAAAAGCTGTCATATCGAAGGGCAGGCCCGAGATTTTCCACCCGGTAGCAATGTATCTACGTCGTAGAGGTAGGGTCATGTAGCACGCGAGCGTTCCGCTAGGACATTAATATTTCAACTTGAACTCAACCTACTCAACACACTGGACTCGCTTCACTCAAGCGCGGAAACGTTCGCGGAGCTCTCTACAACGTCTACGGTGTCCAGAACGAACAACGCCATTTATATTCCTTCACGACCGATGATTCTACTGTTCCGATTTCCGTTGGTGATCCCGTCGCGCGCGCGCGCGCCCCCGACGGACGAGCAGGTCCAGCCAGAGCAGCAGCAGGACGGCAGCGTGGTCTACTCCGCCTCGAACCCAGACGAGGGTGCCCTCATCTACGCGGCCTCCCACTTCGGGTACCGCTTTCTCCGGCGGGACGGGAAGGACATTACCGTCGCCGTCACGATCCGGCACGAGCAGCCGCTGGCGTCACAGCCCACCTCGAAGCCGACGTCTTCGGGAAGCAGCAACAGCGCTCGCGGGGGGCGATGTGGTAGCACCTCCTTGTCGACGCAGCAGCAGAACGCCGGGGGTGGTGCTAAGATCTCCTCTATGTCTCCCCCCCTGCCTCTTTCCCCGGGCGGGGGGGTAGATGTCTGCGGGGGTTCCCCTGTTCTAGGGGGAGAGGAAGAGGAGGCGGAGGAACGTATCTTCCATGTCCTGCACACCTTTCCTTTCACGAGCGACCGAAAACGGAGTTCTGTGGTTGTACGAAAGGGGACGGGAGGGGTGGTGGTGTACTGCAAGGGGGCGGACAACGTAATATTGGAGCGGCTAGACTTGGCGAAGAACCCCGCGGAGCTCGTGAAGACGGTGAAGGAGAACATTGCCGAATTTACCCGAGACGGTGAGTGTTTGCTCGGGATGAGCGCCTGACGGAGGGCAGGACATGATCGAATGCGCAGATTCGTCCTTCGGCGCAACCATATTTGCTGCATGCAAGCAGGAATGAAACTGAGGCACCAGACAAAGATAGCGTTTAGGGGTCGTGCGCTTCTCTGTAACCCGTGTTCAATTAGTTGGCAATGCCCGCAGCATGCTAATTGCATCGCCGCTTATCCATCAGTCTCTCTGCCTCGCTGCGTCGCCTCTTTCCGTCAACCCTCTTGGTCGACACGCCGATGTTGTGCCATGAAGGTCTTCGAACGCTGCTGACCGCGAAGACGGAACGGTCGGAGGAGCAGTACCTGGAATGGCTCTCAGATTTCCAGGCGGCTGAGACCAGCATGAAGGGCCGAGAAGAGAAGGTCCAACGCAACCCTTAGCCTTGAAACTCTGCTTTTGCCTCCGTCAAATCAAAGTCGTGCCTCTAGAAGTGAAAAGTGCTCTTTCAAGACAATGGACCAAATTTTCAGCGTTGATCAGTAAGCTACGGCAAATCATTTGCAATAGAGGTGTGACAAACCAGTGACGGTTACGTGGGGGTCTGCCTGGAAGAAATTCCCTTTCTTTCTCTCTCATTGCCCAGACTTGCTTGTTGCTCTACTTCCAGAGCTTGACCGCCTTCAAACGCAGTTTACCTGTGCCAGCGGAACCCGTCGCTCCTTCTCCTAAAGCAGGTAATGCTGAACACGTCAACTCGCGTCGTCAACAACGCCGCGAGCCAAGCATGCAACACGTGTACAACAGAAACATTACGGCACCCCATTGTTTACGTCGCTGTGTACTTTAACAGCTCAAGGCGGCAATGGGGGTAATGGAGCAAGGATTAGAGATACAGGGGGTCACAGCCATCGAGGACAAACTGCAGGACGGGGTGCCGGACGCGCTCAACTACCTTCGCAAAGCCGGCACGAAGGTGAGGAAAAAATTACGAACCCCCCCCCACAAAGATGGCTGTACGAACCGTACGTAGGTTTACAATATGTATTGGCTGTCACGCTGAATGAGCTGACGACATGCGTCCTTCCGAACCTTCTGTCGCCTCCTCACCGAAGAATGCTTGAAGGAACAAAATACAGGATATTCATCGCCGTAGGCCCATGACGTTTGCTCGCCATCCGCCCTTGGGACCCGGATCTCCGTCTTTTGGCCGGAATCTCTGCCGTCTGCTAGGTATGGATGCTAACGGGAGACAAGGTTGACACCGCCATCAACATTGGACACAGCTGCAGTCTCCTCAACACGGACATGACCACCCTCCGCCTCTGTGCGGACGAGGACGAAGAGGAGGGCGAAACCGACAACAACACCGGGCAGGGGGGACGGGCGGGCGGGAAAGGGAGTGGTAAGAAGGGTGTTATCGATGATGACGTGGTGGTGACAGTGGAGCGGACAAGTCTAGAGCTTGATGCCAGCGGCGTCCCCTCCGAGGGGTCACTTCGAGGGTGAGAGGTGGTGTGTGGGAAGGAAGGGCAGAGAAAGCACGTCGCTACAGAGTCGAGCACGAGAAGCTTGAACACACGATGTTGTTCTACTTTATTATCAGATTGCCTTGAAACGTCATGTACTGCATTGATACGTGTCCTGCGCCCAAAGCTGTCACGCATACGGCCATCTGTTTTTCCTCATCCTCCCCTGACTGTTTTCACTGCAGTCGCGTTTCACGGCAGTCGTGTAGACCCATAGCTGCTCGGTTGACAAAAACAGGCCCGTTTTGGTTGGCATGGGCAGGTTGATGAGCGAGTTAACGACAAAGGCTACGAAGTTGAGGACGGGGGCGGCGGGAGCGTCCTCTGAGACCGCCATCGTGGTCGACACCTACGCTCTCAGCGTGAGTTTGCTGGTATTGTTCTGGGGGGAGCAAGATGTGGTGTGCTGGCAAGCCCTCAACACTAAAGAAAGCACTTCTACTGGTGGCATTTTTCTCGCCATGTCATGACACCCCCCCAGTCAGGAGAATTCAGGTAGTACTCACCGTTCGGCTGCCCGACAACGTGCTCCCTTTTGTCAGCGTCACTCGCACTCGCCCGCGCGCTTGGAACATGAACTACCACTGACGACAACTCAGGGAATAACTCAATATGGGCTAGAGAGAGACTTCGTGTTCCTGTGCCAGCTGTGTGCGAGCGTCGTCTGCGCACGAGTCAGTCCCCGCCAGAAGAGCGTGGTGGTGAACATGGTTCGTACGGCCAGCCCCAGCGCGGTGACTCTTAGCGTGGGAGACGGGGCCAACGACGTCCCTATGCTACAGGTACAACCCTATTATCGTGCTTCGTTCATCCCTCTCCTAAGCACGAGTGCACAATAAGGCGTAGAAGCGCCGTCGAGGGGGGGCCTGCTCGGCAGGAGCGTGGATGCACCATTCATGTTCCCGTGGGCCGAGTGGGGAGGACGGACGTGTCGCGTGCTGCGATGCGGTCAGCTACTCTGTTGATGATGTGGACGATCCTATGTTCGGGACCTACCGTCAAACAAAGTAAAACGTCCTCCCTTGAATCCATCGCGCGTGTGTTCTCTCTTCTCTTTGTGACCTACTTGTCCCATCGCGTAGTCTGCGCACGTCGGCGTTGGCATCCACGGGCTAGAGGGAGCGCAAGCGGTGAACAACTCGGACTACAGCCTAGGTCAGTTCCGGTTTCTGAAGAAGCTGCTCCTGGTGCACGGCCGCTGGAGTTATCGCAGAATCTGCAAGGTGCGGTGCTTGTGATGAAATGTCACTGAGCAGTCAAGCCGCGTGTGATTCGAAGCACACACCGCGCCCTACCCAGGGAAGTCGTATGTGCTTTGTATAGTTTCGCAGCAAGACTAAACCCGTTCTTGCGGCAGCCAAGTGCTTCCTCGTTCACCGTATTTTGCAGCCTTTTCGATGATGGGGCACACTTAGTTTGTGAACCATCCCCTCGCGGAAGACGGTTCGCCGGCACTTGGGGCACTTCTATCATTGTTGCTCTGGAAAATAATGGTTTCTCCAGCTTACTCTCAACGAGGTTGAAGTCACCATTCGACAATTTCTTTCGCGTGAAACATGCTCCACAACAACGAGTGGCTTGTAGCCGTCTTTGGTCCCACAGCACATCACCCTCGGGGCGCGCTTGAGGTGCGAGAGTCTCTTGCCTTTTTGGCTCTCATCCTCAAGGGTTAGGTTTTGTGCCCTCTTCGTCCCTTCCGCGAACGAACATGTTGTAGGTGACGGTTTACATGTTCTACAAGAACGCTCTGCTGGTCCTGCCGCAGTTCTTCTTCGCCTTCTTGTCGCTATCCTCCGGTCAGAACTTCTACTACGACCTGCTCTACCAGAGCTACAACGTGTTTTTCACCAGCCTTCCCATCATCGCCCTCGGGGTTCTCGACCAAGTAAGCACCAATGTAGAGACTCATTGCGCAAATAGCGTCCATAGCTCAGAGAACTGCCTGTTCGCAAACACGGTCCTTGGCAAGATGTTGGTGTCTTACCCGGTCGGATACCTCTAGAAATTCACGAACTCAAGAAGACCCTCAGCTTTCGCACTACACACTCGCATGAACTTCGGGCACGCTGGGTCCCTGCAGGTTTGATAGTTGTCTCCACAGCCGATATCGTTCATTTGGCAGAAATACGCATAATAAAGCAATAAGAGCCCTCTGCCTCATTTTCACCGACCAGGACATAACGTCGGAGGTGGCATTGGCGCACCCTATTCTCTACCAGGACGGAATTCAACGAGTGTTTCTCACGCCTCAAATATTCTGGAGGTGAGATAGCGTCCCAATTGTGGTGGGGATTGGGTTTCGCGGCAATTAGGGCAATAGCAGGCGGTGTTCCTTCGTGAGATATTAAGAACAAGGCCCTACCTTGTAATACCCGATGTCGTTTTTGTTGTCGTAGTCTAGTGCTTGACGGGGCCTGTGCTCGCCTGCCTGTCAACTGAAATTTGACGTGCAGTATATAGGGCTTGCGGTAAGCGACGATCAATATTGTGCGATATTCTCAAGCCTCGTCAATGAACGTCGGAAGCAGGTGGATGAGTGAAGGAGCCATTCACGCAGGTATCGTGACAGCTCTACCCATGGGTGCGCTCGGCGCCGGAGGCGTCCTGCCGGAGGGGAGAGGGGTCGGACTCTGGGGCTACGGTTTGGTAGTATTTTTCTGCGTCGTCCTCGTGGCAAACGGGCGTGTAGCGATGGAGAACAAGCTCTGGACATCGGTGATTGTGTTGGTTTTCGCACTGTCTCTAGGATCCTTCATCATCGCCTTTTTCTTCTTCTCGGAAATGTGAGCGAACATTAATGAAGTACGTTCTTGATAAAGCTTGACCACGTACTCAGTTATTAGATGTTTTGGCGGTCAACTTACGTTGGGGCCCAGGTATTGTTCTATACGTCCCTATTCCTGCATGGACGTTAATAACCAACACCGCCTTTACGAAGCAATAATCCTGAGGACGTGTGCTGCGCGGGAACAGACGGTCTCAAGCAGCTTGCCAGAAGACACCTATAGCACGCTGTAGAATTTTGTCATAGCCTGGTTCATCTTCCATACGCTAGCGCAAACCCATATCGGCTCAATAAAAAACGCCAGGTCGAAAAGAGATGTCACAACATTGGTTGGGTAGGGGTACATTCGTTAGGCAAACAGCATTTCGGCTCCTATGGAGCCACGCCACAGACTTGTTCAGAGCTGGTTCAACAGGGTCAACATTCCAATCAATCCGGTCAACGCACCGAAACGCGAATACCATTGCCCTTAGACACGCAGACGTCGGTGCCGAGCGCAGCTCGTCCTGGAAAATCAGTGACAAAGAAACAAGGACATTGTCGATGTCACTCCAGGGTTCGACAGTCACCTCACAGCGTTTACGGGGGTACTATCAACGCATGATCGCCCTTCTCCATTGCGGCAAAATTGTATTCTGTCAGGATGTTGCATCATCTCTACCTCAGACTGACCAGGACCAATACGGCTCTAGATCCAAGGAAATCCGACCCGGTCGTACTTGTTCCACAGATCATTCTTCACCGCGGATCTGCCGCAAATATCGGGGACGATGCGCGTGATGGGCGGCACCCTCTGGTTCTGGTTAACCCTGATCATTACGACATCTGCCTCCCTGCTGCTATCCTACTTCGGAATAGCATGGGCTTCGCTTTTTGCGACCACAAGGGATGTCATCGGACAGGAGATATCTTCAGCGCAGAGGCGCAGGTGAACCCGCTGCCTACACTGAGTCCGTTCGATCTACGCTTGTCTGCCTTTGTACACAGTACATAAGTTAGGCGTTGCATGTGTGATACTTAAGAGCTTTGTGCCCGACTCCAATAATATACTCCAGGTGACTAGGGATGAATTTTCTTTCCCTCGCAGACCCGCCTTGGTGTGTCGTTATGCTTATAGTATGCACTCCCAGACCTCCCGGTACATGATCACCCTTTGGCACATCACTGGACTACTGCTGCGCAGGGAAGCCGCAGAAAACCAAACCACCCACGGGCGTTGGAACCGGAGGAAAGGTCAGATTCTTCCGTTGTCGACGAGTCCTCGCATGAGCAACGCGACGACGAGACGGACCATGAACGAAAGGCGAGTGGCTCTAAGACAACGAGCAAAGTATCTACAAACAACCGGGGCGTGACTTGAATCAGCCTCAAGCCCGAGAACCAACGTTTATTCGAAAATCGTCGTCGGTGGAACTTGATTCAATTGAGAGCAGAGAGGGAATTGGCCCCAAAACGCCAGTTCATTTCAAATCGTGGAGTTACGGAAGAAGCTCTCAATCTTTCCAGCGGGCATCGCGTAAACGCCTGAACGCACCGAGAAGCGATCCTCTTCATGGCGAAACAACTCTGATGCTTTTGATGAACCGTGTGTTGGCATTAGCATGAGGCACCCAACAAAGTGACAAGGCGTTCCTGAAAGTGCGAAATACTTGCGTCCCGTTGCTCTGCGGTGTGTGTCGCTTGATCATCAGGAGCAAGCGGGCAGCATCAACATCAAGAACAGTAGCTACGCCGGCCTGAACCTGAACAAAGCAACGTTAGACATATTCCAATCGCGAAGGGTGTGTTTAGCGAAAACTGGGGCCGGTTGGAATCTTCTAGGAGGTGCTGAAGTGTTGCCATCAGCGGCATCAAGCAAAAGTAGCAAGAACGTCCGGGCTGGAGAGCAGGGTCGCATTGCACGCAGAAGGCGCTGGGTTTGCGAAATACCACTTTATGATGGATTCCGTTGACGGATAGTCGTTTGTACCGCACGAATGGGAGGATACGGATGAAACGAACTGCGAATCCTCAGGGAATTTCGGACGTCCATCGCAAATCAGTGGGCACACGACGTGGTGCCCCACACAACGCAATGATCGCGAGAAAACGCGGACGATACTAGTGGGGAAAGACGGCCCATTACAAATTGTCGGGACACGCTGGTGAGCCGTTGGGCATCGCGATAGTACTGCGCCCTGCGTCAACCATGCGGGCTTGTGACGGTGTATAGTATCGCATCCCCAGGCATGGCCGACACAACTTCGTTGACCCCGAAGCCGAGACTTTGCCTTCCATGTATTACTTTTCTTCGTATCTCTTAACCGACCATCATCTGTAGCATTCATGTCCTATCTCTCGCCACACCAGACCGGTATGCCGGCAACAACCTCCTGGCAATCAACCAAGGGTTTGACAGTTTCGGTGTGCGGGGGAACCTGGGAGTGGACTACTTCCTCCGCCTCTCTCGAGATTGAATTTTTGTATCGAACATACCACCAGACTACCCGTGGGCTGGTCACGCTCACTGACGCTTCCTTGTGCGCGGTGCCCGGACGCGAACAACACATTTACAACAAGATTACCGCTAGCCTGGAGTAGCTATCGCAAGCGCTGGCATCTCCCACAGAGGCTCTGCCTTGTTGGACGATGCCAATGACGACTTATCCACATGCCCCAACCACCTACAGCATGCTAAAAAACCGAGAGTTTCAACTATCTTTCAACAGCAGCGCCAAGATCGCGGGACGAAGCGGTAGATCTCGCAAGGCATCCACCCTGTAAATATCATCAATACAGTAGAGTGTCAACGTTGTAGGATGGCGATGATACGCATTTACATGGAGGGCCTACAGCAATTCATGGCAGGCACGCCTTGAAGCTGAAGAACTGACGCGTCAGGTCAATACCCCAAGCTTGGTACATAGACCCTACAACTAGGGTGCTATCCCGTATCGTGATATGTTACTGCTGTACACCAAAATGCCAACGATACTCTGGACGCAAGCCCCGTCCCGAACACATGATACACTCTGGGTTGTACCGCACCGAGAACGTGCATAATCTTGGACTAGCGATTGTGTGCTGTCCATGACACATGCGCCCCCCGAACGCTATTACTACTATCTGCTGTCGGCCTTGCCATTGGTGCTGGCAGTGTTGGTGCCGTGGTCATCGACCTGGTCGCCGTCTGGCCACGCAGCCCTGGCGATTCCGGCGACAGCGAATATCCCCGACACCCCCAACAAAAAAGCTCGGTGACCTCGTTGCGCCACAGGTGTCTGCGCCCTCGTGAGCATTCCGTAACCGGAGACGCCCAGCATTGTCGCCGCCCCGATAATCCGGCAACTGTTGCGGTGGTGTTTTGTCGGAAAAGGGTCAGATTGTATGCGGATCGTTCAAGTGCATAAGTCAAGCGTTTTCTTCAGGTCTGACGGTACGCTACGGCCGGCCGAAGCGCAAAACAGAATCACCGTATGTCACTCCAATGCTGCAGAGCAATTTACCTTTGTGCCGTGTACTACGCAGTCAGTCTCACTACACACAAGTAGAGGTAAAGTGCGCCACTGACGCAACATCTGGACGCGTGTTCGAGTCCCCTGTTCTTTTGTCTCGGAAGCAAAATGTGCGTCATACTGTTCTACGCCGGAGAGGGGCATGAAGCGTCTGAGACCACTAGTATTGGCGGAGATGGGACTCGCACACACAACCTTTCTTGTCATAACCTTGATGTACATACACCTTCCAGTGTTGTTCCATAATATAGGGGTTGCCTACAATTCGAGAGCAACAGATATATTTGTTGCGCCACTTCCTGTGTAGTACCCTTGCCCACACACGTAAGACATATCACAAATACCCCTGCAGTTACACTAGCTACAGTGTAGATCGTTCGAAGGGTGTGTCCACTTCAATTGGTAGGACAAGGTACTGTCGGTTTGTCTCTCGAAAAGTGACGATATCGTGTCGGTTGGGAGCTTTCTGGCTCTGTTGGGCTGTTCGACTACAGAGCGTATCTTGCGTTCGTTGTGTGTGAGCTGTGAGCCGTGTGAGGTCCACTCCTCCTTCTCTCTCTTGTTCTGGCCTTGTTTTCCCTTTCCGTGCCCTGGTGGGTGGAAGGCCCTCGCCCTCGGGGGCGGGGGGCAACCGATAATACACAAACGTAACAATAATCAGCCGTTCCACCTAATGGGTCCACCTACACAGACGCGGGTGACATGAACAGGCACATAAGTGATCTGTGTATGTTTGCTCCAAGGTGATCTGAAGGAAACAGTTGACCTACGTATGTTCGATGTATGGTGATCTTAAGGGCATATGTGACCGGTGTATGTTTGCCTACATAGGTGGTTGGGCTATGCTTGCCGGGGTAGATCCGAAAGTCATTGGTGATTGGGCTATAGTTTCCCGAAGTGATCCAACAACATCGGTGGATGGGTCAAGTTTCCCCGAGTGGCATCGGTGATTGGGCCGTTTTGGCCGAGTTGACTCGAAAGACATTGGTGATTGGGCGATGTTTGCCCGGGTGACATCGGCCATTGGGCTATGTTTACCCCGAAGACTACATCGATTGGGCGATGTTTACCTGAGTTGATCCGAAGACATCGGTGATTGGACATGTTTCCCGCGTTGATTCCAAAGACATCGGTGATTGGGTCATGTTCCCCCGAGTGACATCGGTGATTTGACTATTTTGCCCGAGTTGACCCGAAATACATCGGTGATTGGGCGATGTTTACCCGTTGATCCGAAGACAGTGGTGGTTGGACCATACATTCCGAGTTGGTCCGAAAGACATGGGTGATTGGGCAATATTTCCCGAGTTGATCCGAAAGACTCGTGTGATTGGGTCATGTTTCCCGAGTAGATCCGAAAGAGATCGGATATGTTGGTTATGTCGGCAATGTTTTCCTGTCTTGATCCGCACGACATCGTTGACTGGGTTATGTTGCCCGGGTTGGTCCGAAAAACGTCGATCATTGGGCTATGTTTCCCGAGTTGATCCGAAATACATCAGTCTTTG